AGGTGAGGTACCTCAGCTAAACTTTCTTCGGTCTGGGCAATCGGGACGTATCATTCGCCCTTTCAGCTCTTCGCTCAGCGGCCTTTCCCTTCATTTCTACCTAACCCATCCTACAGTGCAGTGCAATCAACCCATCTGCCAATCCCGTAGCCAATGTTTCGTGTCTCAACTATCTCCCAGAAAAATAAACCAATATAATCGCCTACTAACCTCAAAAGATCCGATCCACGTTGCAGCCTTCAGTGTCCTACTCTATGTCAAATTGGGGAACAGGCTTTCCTGCTGAAACCTTACTTTCCCTCTCTATCGATGTATGTTGTGTCCCCGAAACAAGCATACAAGACCCCACTTCGGTCCTGCTCCTCAAGTCGCTTAGGAGGAACGCAGATGTTTGACATTTCGCTCTTCGGGCATCCGGTGATCCTGACGAAAGGGCTCGTGGTATCTACGGTGTAGGAGTTGCACTCAGTCCCAAGGCTGAAAGTGCCTTACCGGAGTGGATTCCAGTAAACAGTCGCCTTTGCGCTGTGCGGGTGTCTGGCTCAATTAATCTTAATGCAGGTCGATGTGGTAAACGGTGTTTGTGGTATCAGCATACGCCACAACAGATAGCAAATCTGAGCTGAAAAGGACGAGTCTTATCAAACTCTGTCACAACTGCTTCGGTCAGCAAGAAGGATGGATATAGTAATCTTGGTGGGTGATATGGATGCTGAGGTTGGATGACTATGTCAGAAGCACAGTTGGATGTTCGATATGGAGTCGATGCTGAGGGTATGGATAATGGGGAGCAGCTTCTTCAGTTGTGTGCAGATCATCGTCTCTTTCTGCCCAGTACGAACTTCCAACACAAACACACACACCGAGTTACTTGGAGGTCACCACAAAACAGTCGTGAACTCAGTTGAACCATATGGTTATCAGTTACCGATAGAGAGCCTCAGTTAAGGATTGCCGTTCCTTCTGGGGTACGCAACTTGACTCTGATCACGCCATCGTACGGGCGCGCTTATCACTTCGCTTTCTACAAGCACTACGCGTGCCGAAAGAGGGGAGCTCCGTTCGTCAACTTCCACAAGTTTCAGTAGCTGAAGAGTATCGAGCTGATCTTTCTAGAAAGCTACAAGAAACGCCCAGTCATGTAAATTACGGAGACCGCTTGGAGGATGAGTGAGGGCGAGTTAAAAAAGCAATGCTGTGAACTTTCCGAACTGTTTGTCCAACTCATCTGACCCGACTCAATGAACACCGGACATCTTCGAGGTCAGCAGGTCTTATTGCTGCCAGAAAGGCCACACTAGCAACTAGGGACTATGATAGCGCACACAGAGCCCTCAAACACGGATACTCAGGAATGACAGAACGTTGGTGGATTTCGAAGGCCCGGGAGAATGCTCTCGCTACGCCTTTACTGTCTAGGCTTGGGCAACCTGGCAGTATCCCAGCCCTCG